ACAATTTTAGAGAAGAAAATGTTTCGGTCGCTACCCGGATTCGAACCCGGGACCTTTGAATGAGAGGCCAACTCCTTAACCTCTAGGCCACGAGAGCTCATTGGCTGGATATCTGCGCCCTTAGAGGTTTAAAATCTTTCAACTGATATTTGATATTTGTGATAACATCAGAGATAAAAAGTCGAATGGGGTCAAATCCGGACTGTGTCTCAAATGGGTGCTCTGTTTCGTGTTACGAGACTGGTGACACCATCTTAACATTTTCCCTTCAGACAGGTTAAGACCAGATCTAAAAGCAAAAAACCGCCAAGGTAAGGTCACCTTTCAATCAATTTTCAAAAGTTTGGAAAGCAAGCGACTTCACTGTGCATCAAGATTCGATCTCCTTTAACTCCAATGTCAAGTCTGTGCTCCTCTACGGCTGCAAAACTTGGAAGACAAAAAAAAAAAGACAGAACTGAATAAAGTCCACACTTTCATCAACAGATGTATGTGGAGTATCCTAAGAATTAAGTGATAGGAAATATAAGAAATGAAGAGCTGTGGGAAAGGACAGGACAAAAGGATAAAGAAGTAGAAATAGAATTTAAAAAGCGGCGATGGATGGGCCACTCCCTCAGAAATCCCAGCGGAAACATCACAAGACAGTCGCTGCAGTAGAACCCATAGAGGGAGCACGAGACAGGGGTAGGCCACGGGAAACATGGAGGAGGTTTGTGGAAAGGGAAATATGAGAGATAAAGCTCACTTGGAACGAGCTTGGAAGGATGGCCCAGGACAGATATAATTGTAAGGAGATTGTAATTGTATGTGGCCTATACCCTGCCAGGGGTGAAAGGCATTGCTGATGAGGTTAAGACACGGTCAAGGCGTTTACAGTAGTTCTAAACTCCTTGGACACGGTCGACACTGTGAGGGGCTGCCCCATCCATCCCGCATCAACTATTGCATGCTGACCTCTTGTCTCATAAGCGCCGCGGAACAACCCCATGGATCGTCAGAACTGATTCAACACATTCAAATAATATTTTTAAAAAATCAGCAGTGAGAGTTTGCATGGCTTCACGCCTTCATCACGGAACGAAAATGAGCTTATGACGTTAATTATGATCTTAAAACGTAACTAACCACGCTGTTGCCTTCTTAAAAATCGTGCTAGACTTTCTCCTTCACATCATCTGGTCTTTTTGTGCTCGTAATTCCCAGAATTAACTTTCCCAGTCACGTAGAAATGAGCCTCGTCCCTAAAGCAAACAGACCGTAGAAAATCTCACTCGATCTGTCTCACTTGTTTTAATTTTAAACATCCATGCCCCCAATATTGTTTTTGTCTGTGAAGCTTTGTGTGGCGTTGTTCCTTGGCGGACTGAAATAAAATATGATGTGACTTCAACTTTCTAATTGATATTTTAAAGATTTTGTAAGCCGGGGACTGACACTTCCTGTTACCGCCATCTCCTCAAACTGACTTCTTTGCCGTCGAGAACTTCGCACAAATTGCTTATTTCAGTTTCCTCATTTCGCTTGCGCAGTTTTGTTTTAAAACCAAACTTTAAATATGCTTTCTCACTTCCTTTATGGCTTATTGAAAGACATCCCCTCACTTTAAATTGTTCAGACCACCCCCACCAATCGCTCTTTCAGAAGGTGTACTAGATGTAGTTCTGGATAGCTGGTGTTGTTGTTGTTGTTGTTGTTGTTATTTTAAAAGTATAATAGCGACATTGTGAATGGCTACCGTCTGGGTGGCATATTAAATTACTGTCGTGAAAGTTTGACTAAATTAAACGCACAAACACGCAGACAAAGTACAGGGCATTACATGATAATCAAGAAGGAATTGACAATAATTGATCAGAGGCATCTGATGGGGTAGTCTTGCAGCTATATAGATCTATAATAAGCCCCGCCTGGGCATCTTCATCAAAACTACTTCTGCTATTATCAAACCAACATGTAATAAATTAAATAATAAAAGAAGTAAAATGAACAAAACACATTACGCGAAAAGCGCAGCTCAACGAAGATAAAAGCGAATCTTGGTATGACGTGAAAAGAAAGCTAATGGTCGGAGTTTATATGCGTCTAGTAGGCCTATACAGTTCTAAGTGTTACACGTACTATTAATTTGCTAACATTCTTGGAGTAGCCTAGAAAAATTAAAATTTCCTTTCGCGTGTGGTCGCGAAAGCCTTGATGCAAACTTTCCCACAGACTAATCGTTACTAAAGAGGATCATTATACAGTTACAAAGGCTTTTTAAAAACTTTAAGGGGTCACTGACTGCAAACGTCATGGCTTGGACACGGACTGATTGTCAGGGAGGTCATTGCCGCGGGTTCACTCTAAGGTCAGGGCTGCAGGTCATGGCATGTGCGTCCACGGGGGCTGCCCAGTTTGTCACTGGCCCACTTTGTCACAATTTCATTAAAGTATTTGAGTATTGATGACAGTCATAATTACAACACTTTAACACTGTTGTTGTAACTTAAGTTTTTTATTCTCCACATTCAAACTGGTGGTGTAAAGATAGTCCCTCTAAAATGCCAATTCAGCTTGTGTTGTTCAATATTTAATCTTCATTTTTGTATGCAAATCAAAGCAAATAACTGCAAAATTTCAGCCATGAAAGTACTTTCGTTAAAAACAATTGAAAAATTAAATTAAGTTCATACAATCAATCAATCATTCATTTACTCTTTTCGAGAATGTCAGTGTTAACTTCCATCCTGTAGGGCACAGTCCAGCTGTGACAAAGTGGCCCTGTGACTAACTAGCGCATGCTTCCCTCCAGCCATACCTGTGTGAAGTGTTGAGTGGGTGGTTGGCGGGTGCTCTAGTTACTGGTGTGGTTTGTTCCCCCTACGACGTTCCTGTCAACAAACATCTCATATCGTCTTTATCTCTCTTCCTTCTTTTCTTTGTATGTTACAGCTATCAGTAACACCCAATTGAAGTATACATAACATTAACAGCTCTACTCTAATCTGCGACACTTAACATTACATATTTTTGTTGAAAATGACGTAAAACTATTTCTAAAACTGAAAACTAAGTGACTCTAACTCAAGCTGAGATACTATTGAACCCCGCGGCTGTTTTCCCCTGTTTCAAACGCACGTTTATAAAATACATTCACAATACACTTTTGAATTTCTTTATACTATTAACATTTTTACTGTCACGTTTTTTTTTCGTGTTTAGTTGGTTTTCCAATCATTACACATCATTTTAAATTATAAGCTGAGCTACTATAATATTATATTTGGTCACAGCGTCATAGCGAATTGAAAGCTTCGATCTTAACTGTACTTTACATCGACGTCACTGAAATAGACACAAATATTTAAAACAATTGAATTCAGTCTCTCAGTTTAGTCTCCAAGTTTTGACAATAATACAGTAACAGGCTACATGCACAATTTGTGCATGGCATAACCTTTTTAGAGTTCAGAAAAGTATTAGAATTAATTATGCTAAATCAACAAATGTGCGGACTTCTAAAACGGCACAAGGCGCGCGCAACGAGTTGTAACACCCGACACCCACCCTTCTCTCTCTCTCTCTCTCTCTCTCTCTCTCTCTCTCTCTCTCTCTCTCTCTCTCTCTCTCTCTCTCTCTCTCTCTCTCTCAAACACACATACACACACACACACACACACACACACACACACACACATATGCGCGCGCACACACTCACGCACGCACGCACGCACGGGCGTGTAGCACGCGCGCGCTCACACTCACGCACGCACGCACGTACGCACGAGCGCGCAGCACGCGCGCGCGCGCGCACACACACACGCTCACACACACTCGCAGAGCTAGCAAAATATAATAATTTATAACACTCACAGTTACACGCTCACGCAGACAAATGAATACTCAGACAAAATTGCACGAGGATAGCTACCCATGCGTAGCCTGCACAGACGCAGTGCATACGTACTTAGCTTACGTACATGCCAAACAACATTTATCGTTTTGTGTCATGATTATCGCTTTCCTATATTCCTGAATTCCGCGTGGCCCGGATTTCTGCCTGCCGACCAAGTAAGAATTATTTAATCCTCCTCCTCCTACTATTACTACAACTTTGACAAATTGTATTTTATCTCTATATAGGGTAACGACTTTTTAGTCTCCTGCATTCTTTTTAAGCACTTAGTTAGGAGTGTGTTTATCGTATGCGCACTCACGAAACAAGAAGTAAGTGAAACCTGCGCTTGGCGTTATCGTTGATGCATGTTGGACTATCGACTGTCTGATCTATCTCATAGTCAAATGTAATACATTAACATGACTACGGCTATACCGTACTATACGGTGTGTAGGCCTAAGCACAGCCTGGCCTTGACATGCTGAACTGCCACACACTTGCTTTATAAATTATAAAAATAGATCTGCAGCTCAGTGTGTGTAGTAACCATACAACTTACAAGATTCTCTACACGATCTTTGCAGAAACGAGTAAGAGTCCAGACAGTCGAGTGAAGTGTTAATAACAGTGCTCTTCTTTTAACAAATAATTATTTTGACCTTTTTTACTGTGTATTTTTTCCCGACTGTTTCGTTATAACGATCAGTGAAATTCTCGCTTCTTGTAGTTAAGTTCTAATTAAAATTAAAGGGTGCTTGGTGGATTCTCCGGTGTGATTTGCTCCTTCAATTTAGCCTAGGGCCTACCTATCAAACTTCTACTTTCTTGTTTTCTTTGTCCTGTAGCGACTCAAGTTGCATGATACCTAAGCTCACTTACTGTAAAACAACATTAGCTTAATTGGACTACTTCTCTCCCGTGAGGGTATAAAGCGTATGATGTAATTTATGCACACTTTAATGGTCTGAATCAGTTCACGAACCGACGTCTTGTCAAGTCTCCACATTGACGCCAATGACCCCGACGTTTAACACACAGCCAAGGCCGAGATAACCACGTGAAACCCCTCTCTCTGACTGACGCCACCTGTGATTTCGAACATTCCTCAAGCCCCAGAGTTACAATTTCTTCAACAATATATTCTTCAATCTTCACGCAATCGCTATGGCCCAACCAAAGCAACAAGGTGAGAAGGAAGAAACACTGCTCACAGATTTATTTAGTCAACTGCAGTCAATTACATTGCAGCAGTAATTACAGCCAGAACAGTAGGCTATTGTCTCTTTAACCTCTCCTGTACTGCACAGTTCTATTTTGCCTACCTAGAGTACTTCATGTATCCTACCTTTTTTGGGTCACATACTTTTACAAAGGAAAATACTTTGTGTTCCATTTTTTGGTCTTATTTGGACAGGGAAATACTTTATCCGAACCTTTTTGGGTCATACGTTTTTTTGGGGGTAATTAAAGTGTTTTACAGCACTCGCAACTGCATCCTAAGGTCAGAGTGCGCAGGACACATTAAACTTTTTCAGTTGGTAGGAAATTTTCAATTTTGACCGGGTGGCGGCTGAAGCTTACTCTTAACGATTTTAGACCTCAAAGTGATCTTTTATGTGCGCAACTTGCACACGGGCCCTCTGAGATTTTTCACCCTTGTCTGAGAAGGCTAGGTATAGATCTTTCCTACCAGAAGGTCAGGGGTATGGCTGAAAGAAAGCAGTAATTGAAGGAAGTAGCAGTAGAAAGGCTGCAGAAAGAATCAGGAGCCCAGAGGAGGGGGCAAAGGAGGTGAGGGAGAGGGGGGAAGAAAGAGGAGATGGAAGCAGATGACAGAGCATTGCTAGAGAGCAGGAAAGGAGGTGAAAGGAGACAATTTTAGAGAAGAAAATTTTTTGCTCGCTACCTGGATTCGAACCCGGGACCTTTGAATGAGAGGTGAACACCTTCACGTCTAGGCCATGAGAGCCCCCTGTTTATACTTTTTATTAGGAAAATAATATAGATCTGTATAACATACATTTATATAAGCATGCAGAAGCACAATTTACGTGTTGTTGCCTCAACAAGTACAATTCACTTACCAAAGAGTATTGGTATGTGTGTGTGTGTGTGTGTGTGTGTGTGTGTGTGTGTGTGTGTGTGTGTGAGATTAACAAGTGGGTAGGTGTGGGTTTTTTAAAACCATGTCGCAGCATAATTTCTTTGTGGAGATAAGTAAAGTGTTATCATATCTTATCTTATCGCATTGTTATCTTATCATATCTACCTTATCGTATCTTATCTACAGATTTTTTGTCTGGGCGAGTGGCTCTGGTCACGGGGTCTACAAGTGGCATTGGTGAGGGAATTGCTCGAAGTTTAGCCAGTAGAGGAGCCAACGTGATCATCACTGGATTTGGAGATGAGCAAGCCATAACAAAATTGCTGGAATCCTTCAAGAGGTAAATATTTATATACCAAGAACTTTACAAGTGCATCAATTTTCTGGCAAAATATTCTTTAGTCATTATTATAATTTGGTTTGTATCAGATTGAAGGCAACTGAATCAAGAATATGAGAAAAACTGTTATGTTCATGAAGTAGGAGAGAAGAGTTGAGAGAGGATGAAAAAAACAAACAACTGTACCATATTTGCAGACACATCATTTTACTTTTATGCGAGTCACCTGGAGAAGCTGATTGAAAACCAACCGAGCAACTCGCCTTGCCTCAAGCTTTGGCCTGAGATTTATTTTTACTCTCATGTCTGGGGATATTGCTAGGGTGTCTAGTTAATTTATACTGTCAGCTCATGGTATAGAGGTTTTTTTTCATGCAGAATTTTTATTGAACTTTGAATTGACATGGTGTTTAGTATCCGATTCATAGTAAATTTGGCGTACATAATAAGTCTGAAGTGAAATGCGCTTTAGAAGAGCAAAACAAATTAATGTTTTTACTCCGCCACTCCTTTTTAACCTAAATTTCTGCCCTGCTTTATGAAATGTCTGCAACAGATGCAGTGATTTTCAAGGTTTTGGGGGTTTGGGGGCCAGATCCCTGTGTGTGCAGGGTCCTGTAGAAATCTGATGATTCTTAACACTTTGCAGTCACACAGCCAGCAGTAAGAAATACCCCATCTGGTCTCCCAGCCAGGAGAGTGACTACAATGGACTTCTCGGGCCTGGTGCAGAACTGCGCCAGGTGACCGGAACGGACAATTTTCACTGGCGCATTATTGCGCCAAGTGACTGCAAAGTGTTAACCGGATGCCGTCTTCAAAATGCAATGGTTTCATTTTAAATTGTAGATGAATAAAAGATTTTCTGCTTGAGGATGTGTTGTTAATATAATATTGTCTTTCTGCCATTCTGCTTGATCAGCAGTGAACTGTTTTTTCAGGAGCGAATCACACAGTTTCTAAAAGAGCTCCATGGGTTGCCAGTGAAAGCAAGGATTGACTGCAAATTGGCATTGACGTGTTGTAAAGCTCTGAGAACCAATTTTCCATCCTATATCAGAGACTTTCATGGTGGATGGTTGGCGGGTGCTGTGATGTGGTTTGCTCCTTCTTTCCTGTCAAACATCTGTCGTCCTTATCTGTCCTTCTTTTTTATATTTGTTACTGTCTTGTAACTCCTCTAATCTTCGGCACTATGACTTTATTGTGTTGGAAGTGTGTAAAATGCTTGATAAGACTAAGACCTGCTTGTCCCTTACAATCCACCAAAAAGTCTTAGGTCAAAGTAGCCTACTTCTTGTGCAAATCTGCTTTCAACCCCATGAACACATTGTAAGAAATACGATGAATTGGCTTTCACATTAAAATTCTCGAGCCCACCTGTGTGTAGTACGCATTGCCCAATGAGCTGAGATCTATCGTTTATTTAGAAATCTTTTTAAAAATCTAAAAGCTCATCTTTTTTTCAGAAATACCACTGTCCTGCCATCGGAAGTTGAGGTGATTCTCTTAACAACCTGTTAATTTTGATGTACAAGGAAGGTTAACTGATATGGTTGTGTGGGCACCTGTGCGTTTATGTGCACATGTGTGTGAGTGTGTGTGTGTGTGTGTGTGTGTGTGTGTGTGTGTGTGTGTGTGTGTGTGTGTGTGTGTGTGTGTGTGTGTGTGTGAATGTATAAATGTGTTGACATTATGTGTATTGACATGTGTGTGTAGATATGTGAATAATTTTATGAGCTCAAATGTCGCTTGAATGACTGATTTTACATCTGCTATTATTGATGTAAAGCACCTTGAGCCCAATTGGGGAGTGGGTGCTTTTATTATTATATGTGTGGCGTGCTGACAAAATGAGTTACTTCTCGCAATCCACAAAAGGAGATATTTGCAAAAAAATCAACCCCAATATCAAAATAGTAGTTCTTCTATAGATGCTATATTTTTTTATGTATCACATGCTTCTTGTTATTTCATATTTATAAATTGTAAAACTTCACTTATAAGCTTTATGTTTCTATTTCTATAAGGTTTGAATCTGAGAAGTAACTCATTTTGTCAGCACACTTCACATATTACTGTTGACCCAGCTTGTGTTGAGCTCACTTAAGTTGATCTTCGGTTAAGTTGATGTCTTTTTCGGATGCCAGCACTTCTTCTTTACAATTCCCAACGGTTAAGTTGAACTTCGGATGAGTTCACCTAATTTTCACTCCTTGTATGACATCAGCTCATCCGTGGTGGACTGTATTTTTATCTTTATTATGGATCTACTATTATTATTGTTGTTATTGTTTTTATTATTATTATTGTTACTAATACAATGTCATTTTTGTTGTTGTTACGATCATCATTACATGTATTGTTATCATCTGTGCTTCTTAGTTTTTATGTCAAATGATGTCAGAGGGTTATTTATTGACAGAGAAATTACAGACAGAAACATTGACAAACCTCCACCTCAACATTATATGGTGTAACTCTCAGGATCATCAAAATATACAAGAGTTCGGTATTCTTTCCTCTTCTCTCCACAGTGATTACAATGTTGAAGCAGTATTTATTGGGGGAGATCTGTGTAAACCTGAAGATGTCACAGCTTTGCATAAAGAAGCTGTAAAAGCTTTTCCTAGTGGAATTGACATTTTGGTGAACAATGCTGGTGAGGATAACTTTTTTTCTAACGCTGTGTAAAGTTTTTACATTCCCTGACCTAACTTTATTTCAACATTATTCATTAAAGCAAATTTGCTTTCAAAATGAGTGTCATGTTTCTGCTTTTACTCCCAAATGAAACTTAATCTGCTTAGCAAAGCTATTTAACACAAATCTTGACTGTGGGAAATACAGACTTGTTCTTCTAGTTCTAGTATGAAAAGAAAACATACTAAATTTATACAGGAATAAACCCCAGTAACAAACATTATTGTTTTTATTCTTTTGTGTGTGTACATTCGAGCAATATGTAAATTTTTAAATAGAGGCTTTTATTCTCTGTTGATTGTGTATGTGTTTGACATACCAGAAATTTGTTATTATGATGCTCATTGAGCGTCTTGTCAAGATGAAAAAATGGATACAATTTATTATTAATTTATCATTATTCAGAGTTTCTGTTAGGGGGTGGTTGGCAGGTGCTCAGGTGTTGTCTGCTCCATCTTTCCTGTCAAACATATATTGTCCTTATCTCTCCTCCTTCTTTCCTGTCAAACATATATTGTCCTTATCTCTCCTCCTTCTTTCTTATGTTTTGTTACTCTCTTGTAACATCTCTAATCTCCGGCACTTATATGACCTTATTCTGTTGCAAGTACCGTAAAACACTTACCATTGACCAAAGTTGGGTCGATAGCGCGGTAAAACACCTACTCAATCAATCAATCAATCAAAAAACACTTACCATAACTAAGGCAAAAAAGAGTTTTTCTTACTTACTTGTTTGTTTTCTAATCTGTCAAAGGTATCCAGCATGTCTCTCCTATTGAAGAGTTTCCGCTGGATGTGTGGAACAAGATGATGGCTCTCATGGTCACGGCCCCCTTCCAGCTGACACAACTGTGCATGGACAGTATGAAGAAAAAAGGTAGGAGTTCTGGGTAGAAAAGAAAATGCTCAAGACTGTTTTTTTTTGGTAAACTTCACTGATTTCTGGCGAAAGATCTATCTTTGCTATGTACACTTGTGTGTTCGCTGTCTTTCCTGTAGCTGGCTTCTGTATTGTCTTTCCTTCCCTGCCTTAGAGTGAATCATGAATGGTGTGTCTGTTGTAGAACAGTTACTCCCTTAACCCTATCCGTACATCCTGGGGTCATTTTGTACCCCCGGGGTTGTATTCTTCATATTTTAGAATACTTCTAGTACAAAGATCTCTTTGAAACTTTCTGTATTTCTCAAAAAATCATTTTGACAGACTGCTATGCGAAGTGCACGGATCGGATTTACTAGTAAATTTCCGCTTTGAAAAGTGGTGGCACAGAGCTCCCCATATCGTATGGATACAATAGTAAAACACGATGTACGGATAGGGTTAAGAGTAGTCTGCAGGAGACCTTAGTTCAATTCCAGAGTGGGGAGTATTTTTATAGAGTATTTCTGGTGGGATTTTGTATCCCTCTCGGCCTGAATTAGCTATTATTTCCTTAATTGTTGTTTTAATCCATACCAGTTTTTTTCATTTCCTTCCGGACTGAACTGATCGTACCAGTGTCTGTGGTGTAGCAGTTAGGTTTTTCCCTGTTGCATGCAGGAGATGCGATTTCAATTTCAGAGTGGAGAGACATTTTTATCAAGTATCTGGGTCTTTCTGCTGGGCTGTTGTATCCCTCACAGGCCGCTGGGTTGGCTAAATTGTATTAATTGGGGGCATAGAAAGTCCTATGTGAAAAAAAGTATTCAAACTGACAATAAATAATTGTGCCCTGTTGTATATATATTATAAATCATCTGGAGTTGTATGGAAGTGGGAGCTGTAGAAATTATCTGCATTATTATTGTTATTGTTATTATTATTATTATTATTATTATTATTATTATTATTATTATTATTATTATTATTACTATTATTACTATTATTATTATCATCATTATTATCATCATCATCATTATTATTATTATTATTATTATTATTATTATTATTATTATTATTATTAATATTATTATTTATTATTGTTATTGTTATTATTATTATTATTATTATTATTATTATATTATTATTATTATTATTATCTTTATTATTATTAGAGGCTTTTGAAGACATTTAAGATGTCCATTTTAAGAAGAAGAGTCAGGAGAAAAAAACAGAATTCTTTTCCTGTATACATGCACCATCAGGGAATATAAAATGAGGAGCAATACAGTGCAAAAATTTCTAGATTTGTGCCACACCAGTGCCTACAACGATACATAAATTGGTAATCATAGTGGGTGGGTGGTGGGTGTTCTGATGTTGTTTTGCTCCTTTTTTACTGTTAAACACTTTTTATCTTTTCTTTCCTTCTTTTCTTTGTAATGGATGGTCGATGGGTGCTCTGGTGTGGTGTGCTCCTTCTCTCCTATCAAAGATCTTTCATCCTTATCCCCCTCTTTCTCTTTTATTTTGTTACACTCTTGTAACACCTCCAATCTTCAGCACTCATACAACCTTATTGTGTTGTAAGTGCCGTAGAATTTTAACTAAAACTAAAACTTTTCTTTGTATGTTACTCTCTAGTAGCACTACTCTGATACATGTATAATCTTTGGCACTTATGCCATAAAATTTCTGAAACTGAAAAATCGACCATCATTGGTATCTGTGTACTTTTTGTCTGCAAAATACAATGAACAATGAACATTTCAAGGTGCTGCAATATTTTTCTGCTCTTCGGGACAAAACCCAACACAGTCATGTTTAGTTTTATCATGTTTCTGTCCAGGCTGGGGTCGGATTATCAACACATCGTCCGTTCGTGGACACATTGCTTCCCCAAACAAGACAGGATATACTGCTGCTAAACATGGATTGTTAGGACTGACCAAAGTAAGTCTGGAAGTGTTACGAAGGGATAGTGTCCCTTGATTTGTTTGCTAAATTTAAATATATTATGCCTGCTTTTTGTCTCAGCGTAATAAACACAAATATTTATGCTGCCAATGCAACTTACACTGAATGCTTCCTGGGAAACAGAAAATGTTTCTCAGTGTTCCAGAGTCTGTTTTGGGTAATAATAGTTGTATAGCACTTAGATCATGCCATAAAACGTGGAAAAAACTACATAAATAAACGCTGTTTTATTGTCATTATTATGAAAATAATTTATAATTACATGATAATAATTGCTGCATTAATGTAGTGCATATTCATACTCTACAGCATGGGCCATCTACTTTACATCTATTACCAGTCTGCCTCAATTCTGTAAACTCCCTCTTTATTGGCCAGACAAAAACATTTTGAAAAGATCTTCACTTCATCAAATGGAGAAGTAGATTGGATATGTGGAGGGGGATGCGTTGTGCTTTGATTTGGTGCTCATTGGCCCTCTCATTTTAAATAATCATGATCTGAAGGAAAAGTGCCAAAGGCATGCAACAGTAATCTGTTGGAATGGGCAGGTTGTTTTGATAGGTTATAGTTTATTTAGCAAATACTGATTGTTTAATTTGGGTGCTCCATTAAAAGAGAAAATCTGTCCTGAATTTCGGAGTTGAAAGTTTACTCTTCTATCTGCTCATTAAGTAGTGAGATGTCTGTGGAAAAGTCACGTTTACTTTTTTTTTGTCTTCAGGCAGTAGCAGTTGAAGTCGCTGGAAGTGGTGTCACTTGCAATGCTCTATGTCCTGGATGTGTAGAGACACCTTGTGAGTATGACGTTATTGGTATTCTCTGTTGTTTTTTTTATTTACAGTGATATATGGGATTCTTCCAACATGGTGCGTTTAAAAAAAAAAAGGAATCTACAGCTTCTCCTCTTTGACAGTGACTTCATATCACTGTCATTGATCTAGAGACGTATTTCAGAGGAATAATGCCTCACAAGCCTCACTTGCCAAATTTTATTAATGGTAGCCTTTTCAGTTGGATGATGAGACGACTTTCTCTCTTGATGTGTGGGTGGTTGGTGGGTGCTCTGGTGTGGTTTGCTCCTATGAAACATCTATGGTCCTTATCCCTCCTCCTTTTTTTATGTGTTTGTTTCTTTCTTGTAACACTTCTAATCTTCGGCACACTTACTAGACTTAATGGTTTGGTATGTGCCATAAAACGCTTACAAAAGCAAGACAAAAAAAATCCCTTGTTATCTTTACAATACAAGTCATCGGATCGTTTCTCGTGGGCCCCAGACAGTTTCTTACTAATTACTTGCTTGAGTTTTATTGTCTTACTTTCACTTTGTGTGTTGCCTTTATTTTTACCTGGATGTCTTTAGAAATACTTTTTGCAGTAGCTAAGTTCTCCAAGTGGAAATATTTCTATTTGTTCCAGTATTTGTCAAGCAAGCTGAGGACAGAGCCAAAGACCAGGGGATAACTTATGAGGAGGGAAGGGTAAGATTTACTTATATACAAATTGTCAGCATTTTCTACATCACGCATGGGCAAACTATGGTCAATGGGCCAGACCTAGCCTGTTAATAATTTCAGTTTAGCTGACAAGTCAACCCTCGAGTCATTAATGCATGTGGCGAGCATTGAGTTGAAAGTAATTAAAACACAACTACCAGACTTGAAAATTAAAACGTTTAGTTCCTGGCCAAGCTGGAAGCAAATTTATCTCATGAAATACCCTTGAGTGACATATTAAGCTTTAATGTCAGTTTTAGTCTCTCAATTTTGAAAGCTTAGATTATCAAACGGATCTCACCCAATTTTCTCCTGCTTTGGTCTACGAAATATTAAGAACCGCTTAATCTGGCTCCTGACTTGGAACACACTTGCACCTGCCTATTCTACATGACTCGCTAATCTTTATTGTTGTACACATACACACACATACACATACAAATACATCTTGTGAGTATGACATTATTATACACACACATACACAAACACATACACATACACATACACATACACATACTGTAGAACATGACTATAGCGGCTCCCGCTATAGCAGGACCGTCCCTACTGCGCGACCTTACAGGAATCCCCCTTTTTTGGTCTAGATAAACTCATTTAGGCCTACCTGTGCTCGGGTTTAGCGGGTCAAGGAAAAGCCCAAACTTGGATACAGCGGGAAAGATTGAGCGAGCTCTAGCCTGGGGGAAGTGGGTTGGTTGGGGGGGGGCTCCAAACAGGTAGTCAGCGTTGCAGTGTTGTGATTGGCCAGTCCAGTGATGAGTGAGGTGAGGCAGGCAGCAGAAAGAGATGGTGTGCAGAGACACGTTATGTGAGGCACTCCAAAAGTGATGTGCCATAGCCTTAGGCCAAGGCGAGGCGAAAAAGACAGTAAAAGAAGAGGAAAGCGTGTAGTGTGTGATTTTTCTGGCAATTCTCTTTTGCATTCCTAGAGCGGGAACTCGCCTACAGCGGGATTTTTCTTCTGGAACTGTACACATACACACTTATACTCACACACACACACACACCCACACACCTACACACACACACACACACACACACACACACACACACACACACACACACACACACACACACACACACACACACACAAACACATACACAGACATATAACTGTTGTGCAAAGATTGGGGCACTAAATGGAATAAACTTGGGCCCAGATCTGTTCTAAGGAAGTTTTGTTGTGAATACATGTGTGTTGGCTTTCTCGTTTTTGAATAAAAGCATTTTATATAAAAATGTGGAAATGAACCATCGCATTTTGATGATCATGTAGGCTACTCATTCACAGAGGATTTTTGTTACAGAACATATGTCAACTGGTTTGTGTAGACTCCGCTATATGTCATTTTGAAAAGTGACGTTTGATGAGTCTTACTTATACTGAGCAATTGATATGCCATGACTGCTCTCATAAGAGGCAATACAACTCCTGTATAAGTTACTTATGTAATGTTCCCGATTGTTCACAATTCTTTAATCTGCGAGTTGTAAGGAAGTGGCCATAGCTCTATTATTAGTGTCTCTACAAACTGCAGTGCAAACCATTGTGGTTTAAGTCCACAGTAGGACATTCCTTTTTTTTTGGGGGGGGGGGGATCAATGATCCATATCTACTAGAGTGGATCTCAGTCTTTTCTAAGATGGATGTAGCATTCAGAAGTCCTTCTTATTACATGACTGTACATGTAGTGAAATTCGGTTATAACTTTGAAGTTGTCTGGCCTGACTTCAAAGTTCGTTGAATCGAAGTGTTTCTTTTTTTTTTAGAAAGGTGGAACTAGCGTGAGCAGTTTTATAAATAGGAAACAATAGGCTTAGGAACATCTGTTCTGAACAAGTCACTGTGTAAATATAAAGGGGCAGCTGCCGATTCCATCTAATGCATCATATATGTGTCAAATGGCATTGTTTGAAGAAGTTAGATTGTAGTGTACGTAGGACCCTTGCTGACAAGGCCAAGCATCGTATAGCAATATGGGGTTCCAGAGACCCATGTCTTACCATGAGTAGGCTGACATGTATCATGATCAGACTGCTGTCATATCAATTTCTAAACATGCCTTTTATTACAGGCCCAAATGTTAGCAGTCCAACCATCAAAGCAACCTGTTCTGGTAAATGATGTGAGTATTGTACTCAGTATTTGTATGTTTCCCTTTAATATTGTTTCTTGTCTATTCTTGTATTAATTCAAACATCTGTTCAGAGCTTTTCAGGAATCTAAGATTATTCTTGGCTAGAATCATCTCATTTGTTTTATTTGAAGAACATATTGATTTTTTAAAAACAGTAAAGTATTTTTAAAACTAAGTCAGTAGAGAAGTAAAAGGGCGGGTTTCCTCCAAATTGATGCAGAGGCAGTGATGGAAAAAAAGATTTTGGTATTTCAGCAAAAAAGCAAACTCCCTGACTGCTTTTTTAAAACAAGAAAAAACTTCTTTTTCTTCTCCTGTATTCTGTCATACAGATTTCATGGGACTGAATGTTTAAAAAAGGCAAATCTCTTGAAACAAAAACTACACAAAGCATTGTATTTCATGCATTGAAAACTTTATGGTTTTTAAATTAAAAAATATTGTAGCATGCAGCTTTGTGTTACAAAATTTGCCTCTTTATGTGATTGTCCTACAACGTGAGAGTATGAAAAAGTTTTTTTTTTCTTCTCCACAGCTGGGAGAAGCTGTGGTCTTTATGTGTTCGAGTGCTGGCAATCAGATGACTGGGCAGTCTTTGATCATAGATGGTGGCTGGGTGGCGACCTAGATGTTGGATGGTGAACTAGACCAAAAATTTTGAAAGAAACAGCATCATGTTATTTACCTAGACTCAAAATCCTGAAAGAAACAGCATCATGTTATTTACCTAGACTCAAAATCCTGAAAGAAACTGCATCACTGTTCTTTATTTGAATCTACCATAGGCATCCCAAACTCTTTTCAAAACTTGAAAAACCGCTGATACTTTATAAAGATATGATTGGATCAGAAACAATTTTGAACGAAAGTCAACTGAGGCATACGGATTATGTAAATGGTGTACTGAAAGATTTTGTGGACACATTTTTTCCAAATCAACATTTCCATGGATTGAACCTCGCAAACCTTTATAATGGAAACAAGACGGTGTCTGGACTGTTTGTTCTTGAGGGACAAGAAGGTGGAATTAGTGATTTAGAAAATGCAATTAGCGATTTTGAAGATGTTATATGGTGCCCATATGACCTAATGCAGTTGCGAGCGCTGTAAAACCTTACTAAAGCTCAAATTAAAGAAGATGGTATTATTGATTTTGAATGAGTGATTTTGAAGAAAAAGTCATCAGCGGAAAAGCACGGCGGGACTGGGACCCCCCAGTCTGTTTAATCCCCTTTGACCCCTTGATTTACACCTGTAGGGTTTATAGAATAGATCAGACGTACAGCCAGACTGTTCTGATTGTTTGTGTTTTAAGGCATAACATGGGTGGTTAGCGTCGAGTGCCCTGGTGTGGTTTTCTCCTTCTTTCCTATCAAACATCTGTCGTCCTTATCTCTCCTATACAGTGAAGTCCTGAAACAATGAGAAGTCTGCTATAAAGACACTATTCTAAAACCCTGTTTTTTTCCCTTCTTTATCTTTGTAAATAAAATACTGCTATTGTGCAATCAGAATGTCATGTGAGTCGGTTATAGCGGAATAATGCTGCGGCTGTGCACAGCACCCAGACCAATTAAACATATAAAACCTCGCCAGTTGAGAAAGTTGTTGGTGAGATAGCGAAACAAAGAATGGGAGAGCCCACGCGAACCAACAATGAAGGCCGGAGCGAATGAGAGGGCAGGGTGTGGCATGCGCAGACAAGCAGAACGCATCGCGTGATAGGCCAGCCCAGTCTAGATTATCTAGGCATACCGTGCCTCTCACTTCTCTGGTGCGGGATGGAGAGGTCACAATGCTGTGATAGATGGAGTGAATGTATGACGTGCGCAAGCAGATGCAACGCACCACAGGGTGTGGTGAGGTGGGGGACAACACAGCGGGCAAGTTAGCTTAGAGCCAGAGCCCATTCTTTCTGATCGCCAAAGCCGATTTGTCAATATTGCTAGTGCTAGAGAAAGAAACCTGATTCGATTTTTGATCTAGTAAGACCTACAGATCATGTTTGAACAAAATCATCATCAGGGGAAATACAAAAAGGAATAAACAGAACACCAAACTCATAGATTAGGTCTACTTACCTATTTCCCTTGAATTTATGACTGGATCCCTAATAATGAGAATCCTGCAAAAACGGACATTTCCCACCGGTCCCCTCCCTCTCGTTATAACAGGATTCCACTGTATTTTGTGTGTGTGTGTGTGTTTGCTACTCTCTTGTAACCCCTCAAATCTTCCACACTTATATGACCTAATTGTGTTGAAAGTGCTGTAAAACTGTTATTCAAACTAAAGCAAAGGCAGAATGTAGAGCGTCTGAATAATAAAGCAATATCTTGATCCTGAGCAGTGATGAATAGTTTTTAAAATGAAAGAGTGGTTGTTGCACATATATTGCATGTTGTTTAAATGTCCACAACTTTCATGGAAATTATTTTGGTATGATGATCTTTAGGAGAATTAAATCTACTTGGATGTATACTTGTGCTAAAAAATGTTTGATTTGTCTGTATTACTCTTTGCAAAATGTACACATTTGTTCGACTTTCACCAAGTTTGGTACAGTTGGTAAAAATTTTTCGAAATGTGCATTATGGTGTGTCAGATTTTGTTTAGATCTGATCTTGTTTTGATGGAAAAGAAAACAATATTTTGAAATTAGTATGGGGGAAAGTGTTTTAGCAGTGTAAACAAATTAAAAAAATAAAAAGTAACTTTCAGAGGGAGAGTTAGTATTTGTACACACTCAAGCTGCTTGTGTTTTTATGAATTGTTAGATCCGTTGTTTGTGGTGTAGTGGTTAGGCTCTGTACCATTTATCCCTCGGGCAGTGCTCTGACTGAACTGTCTTTAGGCCATTCCCAAAGGGGGGACATTAATCTGTTCTTATGCACAGTAGAATTGTAATTGTAAATGAGCTGATTCATCAATGTCATGCTCGTAACTGCCTGAACTGCTACAGGGAACTGCTGCTTTTATTTTCTCATCCTTACTATCGTCATTTTCTCCTCTACTTCTTTTGTAGGTTTGTTACACTCTTGTGACCCACTATTTCTGGGGTTCCTTAATAGTCGAAGCAGACTTTGTGCTGTTGAAGCTAGAGAGGTGAGCAGAGTAAGTCTGATTCCCTGTATTGTAAAGACTTCTCTGTTGACATCCACCCCTTGGCGCTCATATAACCTTATGCAGTCGTGAGTGCTGTAAAACCTCTACTAAAACAATCTGTACCATTGCTCACAGAAGACCTGAGTTCAATTCTCTTTTTGGGAAAATTTTTATTGGGTATTTTGGTCTTTCTCTTAGAGCGTTGTATCACTGTCAGTTTTTTTAGCCAACACGAGCGAGTGAAATTGAAGGGGAAATAAATCTTGTAATGCTATGTAACACAATTAATAAAAACATGGTTGCTTCCCTTTGACGTTTTGCTCTCTCTCTCTCTCTCTCTCTCTCTCTCTCTCTCTCTCTCTCTCTCTCTCTCTATATATATATATATATATATATATATATATATATATATGATTATCAGAATCCGTTCGATGAGGTTTTGTGAAAATTCATCAACTTCACCAGAGCTGCATAGCATACCGTTAAGTCACTTTACGTGCAATTTGGATACCATGTGCTAAATGTTATTTTGTGATATATTATAAATATAATCCACCCCCACCCCTGGCCTCCCCTCTCTTTCTACACTTACTGGTTCCTTACTGCTGTCTTTCAGTGACATCCCTGGTCTTGGGGGAGACGAGATTGAACACCTATCCTTCTCGGACAAGGGCGAAAAAATCTCGGAGGTCTCATATGTGCGAGTTATGCATGTTAATTGTTAAAGATCCCTTGGTGGTCCTAAAATCGTATAAGAGTAGGCTTCGGCCGCCGCTCGTCAAAATTCAAAATTAATTTCTACCAAAACTGACTATACTCTAATCAGTGAAAGCAATCTTTATACATTATATTATTATATCGAGTAACTTCGAAGTCGGAATATGGCTGTCTGAAAGCAAGGGTTCACACTAAGTAAGAAAAATGGTCCCCCCCTCTTTAAAAAAAAAAAAAAAAAATCGGTTTCACGGCAGGCTGAAGAGCCAACAGTCGACTACCCCTGAGATCTCAACAGTGGAACGTAAAGAATTTAAAGAAGATTGCATTACACTGTCTCCGTCGTTTTATGCAAGAAAAATTCTGATATTATGCGAACTGAGCCTTAAAAATGTGAAATTATGCGATTCTGTTAATTTTAACTAAGAATGATAAAGGAAAATACATTTTTTTTTGTAATCAGAAATTATGAAAAAAATGATCAAATTTTGCTAAAATTTTGCGGGGTGCTTAAAACCACGGGGACAGATAACATCAAAGAGGGAAGAAAGGGAGAGGAAGAAGGGAGGAAGGAGGCGAAGCGCGAGGACTATTTATTTGTGTGTGTGTGTGTGTGTGTGTGTGTGTGTGTGTGTGTGTGTGTGTGTGTGAGAGAGAGAGAGAGAGAGAGAGAGAGAGAGAGAGAGGGGGGGGGGGTTGCAATCGCCCACTGACCGCAATAGTGACAATACGTGTATACTAATTCAAAAATATGTACTAATATACGTATTTTTGGTAAGTGTTTTACGACGCACGCGACTGCATAAGGTCATTTAAGCACGCGGGACACATTAAGCATAATTTTGCGTTTGATAGGACGTATTTTCGAATTTTGCTCGGGTGGTGGCCGAAGCCTACTCTTAGCAACTTTGGGACCACCAAGGGATCTATAAAGCACAACTAGTACAATACATCGGACCTTCGAGCTGGCAAGGTGTTAGATCTTACCTAATTTAAGAACAGGGGTGTGCTGAATTTTCCTCCTGTTATTTATATAGAACTGGTGCCGTTTAATACAAGATACAAGAACATAATAATATCGCGGGTCTGTCGGACTAGTTGAGGACAGGTCGGCCGGGAATCCCAAAGGGGTCAACAAGGGGTACCGGTATCTGACATCTACGCTATCTTAGCACTAAGAAAGCCTTTAGAAATGATCATAGATAATTATTGTTACGGTTTCTGACTTTTTTTTTGTTAGTGTGTTACGGCACTGGCAACTGCATAAGGTCATATGAGCACGTGGGACACATTAAACTTTTTCAGTTGGTAGAACATTTTGAATTTTGCCTTGGTGGCGGTCGAAGCCTACTCTTATAATCCATTTCTGACCTTCAAGGGATCTTTAGCGTGCGCAACTTGAATTCGAGAACTCCCGAGATTTTTCACTTTTGTCCGAGAAGGCTTGGTGCAGATTTTTCCTACCCCATAAGATCAGGGTTATGGCTGGAAGACAGAGGTAAGAAGGAGCCAAGGAGTAGTAGTAGAAAGGCTGCAGAAAGAGTCAGGAGCCCAGAGGAGGGAGCATGGGAGGTGAGGGCGTGGGGGCAGAAAGAGGAGACGAAAGCAGACGACGGAACACTGTTAGAGAGCAAGAAAAGATGTGAAAGGAGAACATTTTAGAAATTTAAAAAAATTCCGTCACTCTCCGGATTCGAACCCGGAACCTATTGAATGAGAAGCGAACACTATAACCTCTAGGACACGAGAGCCCCCGATTTCTGACCTAGACTATCACTAATCTGATTACTTTCAGCACAGAGTGCAACGCCCTCTGGTGGTCTGATGCTGCTGTCACGACAAAGCCCATGAGTAGGAGGGGAAGGGGAGGGTACAGTGCCGTCTAGATTAACTCATTGAACGCGCACTTTCTAAAAACTCGACTGTCAGGAAACTCGAAAATCCTTATAGACACACTTTTGGGTAATATTAAAAAACAAACAACTTTTTTATTCATGCATATTGCTTCTAGGGTTTTTTTCTTTTTGGAAGTTAAAAAGATAGACAACTGCCTACATTAATTATAACAGGGATAGGTCGAATGCAGAAGACACGAAGACACGAAATCATGCATCCATCGAACTCTGCCTGCTGTCCCGTTTTTTCACCCACTTCTTTATCTTTGTAAGATATCCATCGAGCTACAGATCCGGTCCTTACTAAATCGAACCATCCGTGTTATACTGTATTATACTTTTGAATAGTGCAATTTGTGTTCTTGGTGTGTGTATGATGGTTAAAATGTGACATAACATTGTCCTTGGTCCGCTGATTGGACATGTCGCTACCCTAGAATTACAAAGTTCTATCTGCTCAGTGCCTAGTTTTGATAAATTTGACGTTAAAAAAAATCTAGGTTCAAATTATTTCAAGCTTTTCCAATGCAATTATTAGACTTTGAATACCCTAATAACAACTCCGAATTATCTCACGATTTTGATAGAGCAGATAGAACATTAAAATTTAGTTTCTCACCCCATGGTCTTGTAACTCGAAATGGACAAAAATGTCAGAAAGAACTTTGTAATTATTTTTTAGGGTAGCGATATAATATGTGTGTCCGCTATGTCTTCAAAGACTTAATATTGTTTAAAGACGTAGCAGACAAATGATATTATGTCCAATCAGTTGAAGACCGGAGGTACCACTGTTGCGGTGCATACTTTCTAACCATCATCCACAATTCAGAAAGACGAATTTGCATTATATTTCGCATAGTATACAAGTTGTTGCTTGCCTTTTAAATGTTAAAATAAAGGACAAAGAACATTATGAATTGACAATAAATCTGTACAAATAGATAAGTTGTTCTTTTTAAAACAGTGCGTCCTCAAGCATTGTCGAACAACTATAGAATGTGTGTCTCAAAGAGTTAGTCGTTTGAGGGCACCACTGGTAGGTCCTACTTCTTTGCTTTCCCTCTGTTGCTTCTGTCTGTCTGTCTTACTTTTCCCCAGCACTAAATGACCATTATTGAGTTGATGTGCTTCTCTTTACTGAACGTAAAACAAACAAAGAGTTAATTGGTCGCTTTTAAGTACAAAGGGGCTACCCCGAAAAATGCTGTTTTGAGAAAAATCGAAGGTAAAGTTTTTGCCCCTTGTTGTTCAGTTTCTTAAAAAGACAAGGAGATATTTGTCTATAACCAAACAAATAATATGTATAAACACCTATGAAACGAAACTTCTACTATAGGTATGGCAATGCCCACTTTTGTTGTAGGCCAAGATTTCTGGAAACCCCCGAAATCCACTTCTTTACTTTCACTCTGTTGTTTCTGTTTGTATTTCTTTTCTCCAGCACTAAATGACCGTTATTATGTAGATGTGAGTCTCTTTACTCAAACAAAACAAAACAAAACAGTCTAACGAGTACTGGTAGGGTGCATCCATTCTCTATGTGGGTGGTTTAGTAGAGGGAGGGGAGCGGAGGACACAACTACCTGGATATCCCTATACTTCTTTTCTCTTTTTCTGTTATTGTTTTTTAGATGTTTATGTTGCTTTTAGTTAACTGTTCTAAATAGGTGGGTGTTGGTTGGTGCTCTGGTGTGTGT